ATGGGGGTCGCTATGAGTTGGAATCCATATAGCATATAATGTAACCGTTTTACTCATATTTCCATATGATCCTTGAGCATAGGAGAAAGTCATGGGTTTTTGGTCAGAGTTCTGGGAGCAGCACAGAACGCACAGCTGCTCTTATCTGGTGCAGATAAGGTTACTGCTGGCCTAGCGTTAGTTGCCCAGTCTTCCTTCTGAGGAGTGGCCAGTGGGTTTGAACTACCGACCTTCTGGTTAGCAGTCAAATGCCTTAGGCACTATGCCACGGTGCTCCTGGCATTAGTTGTGGGATTGAGAATTATGTTTGCATCTGCTTCCCCACAATTCCGTTGGGGTTTCACCCCAGTGTGGACATGCCTGGGAGAGTGTGTGCTGGATGTAATCAGCATGTGTCATGGCGGTCGCCTGGAAAAACGTTTGGGAGCTGCTGGCACTTTCTCATGCGATACTGTCCTACACTGCGGTGTGGTGGCATGTGTGTGTCCGAGCTCCCTTGCAATGGATGCTAAGAGAACGTGCTGAAGGACAGATACATCCTGTTCATTAGATCAAAACACAGCACCTAGTGATTCCCACTGCTTCTAGAGTGTACCCTGGTGTAAGGTACACTGTTGCAGGCTGGGCTGCTGACGTTTTCCAGTTCATCCCTACATCAGATGTAACAAAGTTCTCTGGGACGAGACCATCACCAAGCAGAGGAAGTAGCAGTCCTATACAGCATAGAAAATGTACCCCAAGGTCCCACGAGCACTGTGACTTTTTATTTCTTTGTTTGTGTGTCTCCATTCCCCGCATCTATAGCTCACAGATGTTCATTAAGTCTGGTATCAGAGGATTTATGATTTGGGCAGTAAAATGTAGCTAACGTATGCTACAGTTTGGTTCTGTGTGAAGCCAACAGACTAAGCAGCAGTGCCAGAAACAGAGAAGCTCTTTCCACTGTCAGCCTATGGACCTTTCTGGGCTATGGTTTCCCTATCATACAACAGGGAGTTGGGCAGGCCTGTGTTCCAGCAACCCATGATAGTCACGCTGTGACGTGTTTCTGAGCCATCAGGTTCCTCACAGCAGCCTTCACGTCCTTGTTCCTCAGGCTGTAGATGATGGGGTTGAGCATGGGGGTCACCACCCCATAGAAGAGGGAGATGAGCTTGTCTGAAAGCTCCTGTTTGTCAGCCCCCAGCGGATCCTTAGACTTGGGCTTCCCGTACATGAAGAGGATGGTCCCATAGAAGACAACCACGACTGTGAGGTGGGCAGAGCAGGTGGAGAAGGCCTTTTTCCTCCCTTCTGCTGAGGGGATCCTCAGGATAGTGGCCAGGATAAAGACATAAGATACACAAATGAACAGGACCGGGATTGCCAGGAAGATTACATTGGCCACAGCCATGCTGATGACATTGATGGAGATGTCAGCACAGGCCAGCTTCAGGACAGCCAGGATCTCACAGGTGAAGTGGTTGATGATGTTGTCCCCACAGAAGGGCAGCCTCATTGCCTGAGAGGTCTGCACTACAGAGTTCATGATACCAGCTGCCCACGAACCAGCAGCCATGGGCACGTAGGCAGCCCTGTTCATGATCACAGGGTACCTAAGGGGGTTGCAGACGGCCACGTAGCGATCAAATGCCATCATGCTCAGGAGCACACACTCTGTGGCTCCCATGGCGAAGGAGAGAAACATCTGCACAGCACAGGCTGAGAAGGGGATGGCTTTCCTGGGAGTGAGGAAGCTGTCGAGAATGAGGGGGACGGAGGAGGTTGTGTAGCAGACGTCCAGGACGGAGAGGTTCCCCAGGAAGAAGTACATGGGCATGTGCAGGCGGGAGTCCAGGATGGTCGCCAGGACGAGGACCCCGTTGCCCAGCAGGATCACCAGGTACATCAGCAGGACCAGCACGAAGAAGGTTTTCTCCAGCGTTGGGCGGGCCGAGAGTCCCAGGAGAACAAAAGCCGTCGTGGACGAGGTCTGATTGGATCCGACCATGGTGTCTTGGCTCTGTCGCCTGCAGGAACTCAGAAGGCCAGCTTCAGCATTCTCTGAAAAGTCTGGGCAGCCAGGGAAAACTCCTTGACCAACTCAGGAATAACTGGCCACTGAGGCATCTCTGGGAGTTCCTAGGAAAAATGTGATAGAAATCAATATGTAACCTCGGCTTCCAGTAAGAATGAGTGATGTAATTTGGACTAACTCTCCTGCAGATGACAATTAGAAAAACTGGACAAAAGACATAAAACATCTATGGAAAGCACTGGACAGAGAGTAAGACAAAGGAATGACAGGGTCACAATTCTGGGAAAACCAGAAACCTAGAGAAGACAGACCAGTACTTGAGGGTACTTTTCAACTGGGGAGCTGGCATTTTCTGGAGGATGCCTCTGAGAGGCTGAACAGCCCTACGGACAGCTTCGTGGAGATGTAGAACAGGCTTGGAGGTGCAAACCCATTGTGAAGGCCCCTAACGTTTTTCCCTCTGTGATAGGATCACAAAGGACATCACCACAAAAATATGGCTGACTAAAGATGTAGCCACTTATAGGTGCTGTAACTCAATTTTACTCTTCTCAAGCCCTGAAAATAGTTGAGAGAATCCCAGATTTTCAGCGCTCCCAAGGGCCTAACAGAGGAAGGTAACATTATTCCCGCACCCAAATCACCTCTACTAATAATTTGTCAAGTAAAACATCTGGCACACAAGAAGACAACACCATAAATGAAAACCAACCAGAAAAATAATCAGGAAATAAAAAGAGATCCACAGTGTCTCCAGAGCCACGGTTCACAATAACAGTGCTTACAATGCTGAAGCAGGTGGAAGATTGAGATCTCTGGCAAATAACTGGAAACTTTTAAAAGAACCAAGTGGAAATACTAGAACTGAAAAAGTCAGGAACTAAATGGATAGATATAAGAGCAAATCAGACACATCTGAGGAGAAAAATTCCAGAGTGAAGTGATAGATCAGAGGGAAATATGCAGATATAGCAAAATAAGGCATGGAGGGATGAAAAGATGGAAAGTATGAAAGCGGTATATAAAAGGCAGTGCTGTTGTTGTCAGGTGCCGTTGACTTGGTTTTGATACATAGCCACCCCAGGTGCCACAGAAAGAAACACTGTCTGGTCCTGTGTCATCCTCACAATCATTGTTATGCCTGAGCTCATGGTTGCCGCCACCGTGTCAGTCAGGCCATCTCACTGAGGGTCTTCCTCTGTTTCTCTGACCCTCCACTTTACCAAGCATGAAATTCTTCCCCAGGGACTGGTCCCTTCTGATAACATGACCAAAGTAGGTGAGACGAAGTCTGGCCATTCTCGCTTCTAAAAGCATCCTGGCTGCACTTCTTCCAAGATCGACCTGTTCGTTTTGCTGGCAGTCCGTGGTGTATTCAGTATTTTCCCCCAGCACCACAACTCAAAGGCATCAATCCTTCTGCCGTCCCCCTTATTCACTGTCCAGCTTTCACATGCATATGGGGCTGTTGAAAAGACAATGACTTGGGTCAGGCTCACTTAAGCCTTCAAAGTGACGTCTTTCTTCCTTAACACTTTAAAGAGGTCCTTTGCAGCAGATTTGCCCAGTGCGATACAACATCTGATTTCTTAACTGCTGCTTCCATGGGTGTTGATGGATCCAAGTAAAATGAAGTCTTTGACAACTGCAACCTTTTCTCCATTTGTCATGGTTATTGGTCCATTTGTGAGGATTTTTGTTTTCTTTATATTGAAATGTAATCCAGATCGAAGGCTGCAATCTTTGATCTTCACCAGTAAGTGCTACAAGTCTTCTTCACTTTCAGCAAGCAAAGCTGTGTCATCTGCATATCGCAATTTGTTAATGCGTCTTCCTCCAATCCTGATGCTATGTCCTTCTTCATATGGTCCAGCTTCTCGGATTATTTGCTCATCATACAGATTGAATAAGTGTGGTGAAAGGATACAGCCCTGACACACACCATGTGATATCCCCTCGTTCTGTTTGAACAACTGCCTTTCAGTCTATATGGAGGTTCTTCACAAGCACAATGAAGTATCCCAAAATTCCTTTTCTTTTGCAATGTTATCCATCATTTGTTATGATTCACAAAGTCAAATGCCTTTACATAGTCAAAAAAACATAGGTAAACATCTTTCTGGTATTCTGCGTTTTCAGCCAAGATCCATCTGACATCAGCAATGATGTCTCTCATTCCACATCCTTTTCTGAATCCAGCTTGAATTTCTGGCAGTTCCCTGTTGAGATATTGCTGCAACCACTTTTCAATATCTTCAGCAAAATTTTACTTGTGTGTGATATTAATGATATTGTTTGATACTTTCCACATCCCTGGATCACCTTTCTTTGGAATGGGCACAAATGTGGATCTCTTCCAATCAGTTGGTCAGGTAGCTTCTTCCAAATTTCTTGGCATAAACAAGTTGGCCCTTCCAGCCTTGCATATGTTTGTTGAAATATCTCAATGGGTATTCTGTCAATTCCTGGAGTCTTGTTTTTTGCCAGTTTCCTCAGTGCATCTTGAACTTCTTCCGTCAGTACCATTGACTCTTGATCATACGCTGCTTCCTGGAATGGCTGAATGTCAACCAATTCTTTGTATTCCTTCCATCTTCTTTTGATGCTTCTTGCATTGTTCAATATTTTGCCCATAGAATCCTTCAGTATCACAACTTGAGGCTTGAATTGTTTCTTCAGTTCTTTCAGCTTCAGAAATGCTGAGCATGTTCTTCCCTTTTGACTTTCTAACTCCAGGTCTTTGTAAATTTCATTAAAATACTTTGTCTTTTGGAGCTACCCTTTGAAATCTTCCGTTCAGTTCTTTTACTTCATCTTTTCTGCCAGTCACTGTAGCTATTCTCCATTCAAGAGCAAGTTTCAGAGTCTCCTCTAATATCCATTTTGGTCTTTTCTTTCCTGTCTTTTTAATGACTTTTTATTTTCTTCATGTATGATGTTCTTGATATCTTCCCACAACTTGTCTGGTCTTTGGTTATAGGTGTTCAGTGTGTCAAACCTGCTCTTCAGATGGTCTCTAAATTTAGGTGGAGTAAACTCAGGTTGTATTTTGTCTCTCATGGACTTGTGTCCATTTTCTTCAGCTTCAACTTAAACTTGCATATGAACAATTGTTGGTCTGTTCCTCAGTTGGCCCCGGTCTTGTTCTGATGGGTGATATTGAGCTTCTCCCTCACCTCTTACCACAGATGTAGTCGATTTGATTCCTGTGTATTCCATTTGGCAAAGTCCACATGTATACTCACTGTTTATGTTGTTGAAAAAGGTATCTACGATAAATAAGTTGTTGTTCTTGCAAAATTCTATCATGTGATTTCCAACATCATTTCTATCACTAAGACCCTATTTTCCAATGGCAGTTGCTTCTTCTTTTTCTAACTTTTGCATTCCAATCACTAGGAATTATTATTAATGCATCATGATTGCATTTTTGGTCAATTTCTTCCAATCAGTTGGTCAGGTACCTTCTTCCAAATTTCTTGGCATAAACAAGTTGGCCCTTCCAGCCTTGTATATGTTTGTTGAGATATCTCAATTTTAGACTGCAGAATTGATACAAACTTAAAATTTCTTCATCTTTGGCTTTATTCTATTTTATTTTCTTCTTTGCTTTAGTAGTTGGTGTGTAAACTCAAATAAGAGTAGTATTACATGGTCTTCCTTGTAGGAGTATGGCTATCGTCCCATTACCGACAGCATTGTACTTCAGGATAGATCTTGAAATGTTCTTTTTGATGATGAATGCAACACCATTTCTCTTAAATTTGTCATTCCCAGCATAGTAGACCATAAGATTGTCTGATTCACAATGGCCAACACCAGTCCATTTCAGCTCACTAATGCCTCGAATATTGATCTTCATGTGTTCCACTTCATTTTGACAACTTTCCATTTTCCTACATTCATACTGTGTATATTCCACATTGTGATTATTAATGAATGTTTGCAGCTGTTTTTTCTTTTGAGTTGTGCCACATCAGCAAATGAAGGTCTCAAAAAACCTTTACTCCATCCACATCATTAAGTTTGACTCAAGTTTGAAGAGACTCCCATTGTATTTTGAGTACCTTCCAACCTGAGGGGCTCATCTTCTGGCACTATATCAGACAAGGTTTCACAGCTGTTCACAAGGTTTTCAGTGGCCAGGTTTTCTTTTTTCCCCCAGAAGTGGCCATCTCTTCCTCCTTCCTAGTGTGTCTTAGTCTGGAAGCACCCTTGAAACCAGTCCACCATGGGTGACCCTGCTGGTATTTGAAATACAAGTGTCATTGCTTCCAGCATCACAGCAACATGCAGGCCACGGCAGTGGGACAAACTGACAGAGTAGTGGTAAAATTCAGTAGGAAAGTCTAGGATGTGTGACTGCTCCAAGAAACAGGAGAGTAAAGGGGAAACTGCTCTTGAGGAGGTAATATCTGAGAATATTCTAAAATTTATGGACGACATCAAGCCATAAATTTCAAACTTTTCAAGAACCCCAAATAGAATAAATAAAAGGAAGTCTACATGTAGGGCTCACTAGAGTAAAATTGTTAAATACCAAAGACAAACAGAAAATCTTAAAATAAGGCAGAGAAAAAAGATAACTTACCTTCAAGGAGCAACAATTAGACTAATTTCTCAAAAGAATAAATGAAAACCAGAAGGTAAGGAAATGATATATTTTAGGTGCTGAAAGAAATAAGGCAAACTAGAATTTTAGAAAGAGCTCTGGTAGCATAGTGCCTAAGGCACTTGACTGCTAACCAGAAGGCTGGCAGTTCAAACCCA